ATGTGCTCCTTGCCTGGAGCTGCAAATCCTTCGGGTTGTTGCATATAGATCTCCTCATCTAGATCTCCATGTAAAAATGCTGTTTTTACATCCATTTGCTCAAGGTGCAAATTCTCTAATGCAACAATACTCAGTACAATTCGGATAGTAGTTAATTTCACAACTAGAGAAAAGATCTCAGCATAATCAATGCCTTTTCTTTGTGAATATCCTTTAACTACTAACCGAGCCTTAAACCTCCTTCTGCCATCTGGTTGAACCTTGATTTTGAACACCCATTTGTTTAACAGAGCTCTCTTTCCTGTGGGCAACTCAGTCAGCACCCACGTATTATTCCTTTCAAGTGAGCTCATTTCATCATCCATGGCTTGCTCCCACTTGGTTGAATCTTCCACTTGTAGGGCCTCATCAAAGGACTCTGGTTCTCCTTCGTCAGTCAGCAACAGATAATGTAATGAGGTTGAATATCTATCTGGTGCTCTGGTAGTTCTGGATGATCTTCTCAACACCTGCTCAGGTGCAACTTGCTCCACGTCTGATTCTTCAGCAATAGGATCAGGAGTTTCTTGAGCTTCTGTTGTATCATCACTGTTTGAATTTTCTTGCCACTCAAGTTCAACTCCCACTTCCTTCGTAGTCTCAGAGTTTATCTTCTCTCTGTCCTTGTACATGACATTTTCATCAAAGGTCAAATCACAGTGTCTTAGGATCTTCATATTTTTCTCATCCCAAAACCTGTACCCAAACATGTCAGAGCCATAGCCTATGAAGTAGCATTTCACGGCCTTAGCATCAAGCTTATCTCTCTTCTCTGTATCAACATGGACATACGCAGTACAACCAAAGGTTCTCAAGTGAGAGTACTTGAGTTCTTTTCCTGTCCATACTTCTTCGGGCAATTTGAACTTCAAGGGTACTGACGGCCCTCTATTAATCAAATATGTTGCTGTGTTCACAGCATCAGCCCAGAATGTCTTTGGCAATCCAGAATGAATCCTCATGCTTCTTGCTCGCTCATTCAATGTTCTGTTCATCCTTTCTGCAATACCATTTTGTCTTGCCTTACCGGGAATTGTTCTTATTAATCTAATTCCCTCAGCTGCACAAAATGTTATAAACTCTGATTTGTTGTACTCTCCTCCATTGTCAGACCTCAGGCATTTGATCTTCAAGTCGGTCTGATTTTCAACTTCAGCTTTCCACTTCTTGAAGGTGGTAAACACATCTGACTTGTGTTTCAGAAAGTAAACCCATACCTTCCTGTTGAAGTCATCGATGAAGATGACGTAGTACCTTGATCCACCAAGTGATGAAACTGGAGATGGTCCCCAGACGTCTGTATGGACCATTTCCAACCGCACCTTCTTCGGTTCTCTGGCAGCCTTTGTGAAACTAACTCGTTTCTGTTTGCCCATAACGCAGCTCTCACAAAGACCCATATCAACAGATTTTAAGCCTTCTAAAGCTCATTTCGAAGTCAGCATCTTCATTCCTTTGACGCTCATATGTCCAAAAGTCTATTGTGCCATAGACTTGAATTGGAAGCACTCTCAGCAGCAGCAGTCATGTTTATACACTCTGCAGTAGTGTATAAGGTTCCGGATTTTGTGCCACGCGCAACAACCATGGCGCCCTTCACAATTTTCCAGGAACTCTTTCCAAACTCTGCTGCATAGCCTGTGCTATCCAACTGACCAATAGAGATAAGGTTCTTCTTGAGACCAGGAATGTATCTGACATCTTGTAATGTCCATTGATTTCCTGCTGGAGTTTGTATGGAGACATCTCCCTTTCCTTCAATTTCCAAGGTTTTGTTGTCGGCAAGATAGAGACATCTCCCTTTCCTTCAATTTCCAAGGTTTTGTTGTCGGCAAGATACACCTTCCCGAAATTTTCTGATTTGAAATTTCGAAACAATTCCTTACTTGGAGACGAATGGAACGATGCACCTGAATCCAAAATCCAAGATTCAGCTGGGCTATCCACACTAAGGATTAAAACGTCCTCAGCATCTTCTGTTGTGTATATAGAATCATCACCCTCTTCAGATTTATGATTCTGCTTCTTCTTTAGCTTTGTACAATCTGTCCGAAAGTGTTCTTTCCCCCACAGCTCCAACACGTTATGGTTGATTTGTTTTGAGATTTTCCCCGATTCTTTGATTTTGAACGCCCATGTTTGTTTGAGCTCTTTGATTTGCTTCTTCCCCTTCGATCAACACTGAGAGCATTGCCTGATGAATCTCCAGTTTCCCGTTTGCGAATACTTTCGCTGAGAACTACATCTCAAATTTCATCAAACTTCAGTTTATCAGATCCTCGGGAACTGCTGATTGCGGCAACAACAGTATCCCATGACTCGGGTAAGGATGACATCAAAATCAACGCTTTAATTTCATCTTCGAAATTAATTTCCACCGAACCCAGTTGACTTATGATCATATTGAATTCATTTATATGATCCGTAACATGTCCACCTTCAGACATCTGTAGATTGAACAATCTACGCATCAAATACACCTTGTTCATAGCCGACGGTTTTTCATACATATTTGACAGCGCCTTCATCAGATCTGACGTTGTCTTCTCCTTGATGATGTTAAACGCCACGTTTCTGGATAGCGTCAACCAGATCATCCCTAAGGCTTGTCGATCCTTGAGCTTCCACTGTTCCGTGGTCATGATATCCGGCTTCACCCCCAACAGAGGTTCGTGAAGATCTTTCTGGTACAGATAATCTTCAATCTGCATTTTTCAGAAACCGAAATCGGATCCATCGAACTTCTCAATTCCAATCTTTGAACTTTCCATCTTCATAGATCGTGGTGAATTTTGCCTGCTCTGATACCAGTTGTTAGGATCGCACAACAACGCACACGCTTGATCTAGATGAACACAAAGAAAAGGATAGAGAAAATTGCAAGGAGAACTATGGCTAAAAGGATTTTTTGTATTGATGACTTCAGGTATGTACAACAAGAGAGAGTACAGAGAATAGAAAGTACATTTCAAAGCTTTACTGGACGGAATATATATATGGTTCAGTCTACTAAATATAGCTTTACCAGATTTAGCCATCTACTATATATAGCTATGTGTCATATATAGCTTTACCGGATATAGCTTTACCATATATGGCTTTACCAAATATAGCTTTATCGGATATAGCCGTTGACCAAGCTATAAATACAGGGAGCAGACTCCATAACTCAACACTTTCTGCTCTTCTTGCATCCACTGAGCCAAAAGAATTCAAATCTGCAGCTAAGAATCCTCCTTGGGTGGCTGCCATGGATGAAGAAATTCGAGCGTTACAATAAAATGATACTTGGACTTTGGTTTCTCGCCCTGCCAACACCAACATCGTGGGCTCTAAATGGGTGTTTCATATTAAATATTTGCCTGATGGATCCGTTGAACGTTTCAAGTCTCATCTTGTTGCCAAAGGTTAGATTCAGGTTCCTGGTCTTGACTACACTGACACTTTCAGTCCGGTTGTCAAAGCTACCACTGTCCGTGTTGTGCTTTCTATTGCAGTCACAAATAAATGGCCTCTTCGACAACTTGATGTCAAGAATGCTTTTCTCAATGGAACTCTTATTGAACGTGTGCATATGGAACAACCTCGTGGGTATATTGATCCTCGATTTCCCACTCATGTTTGTCTATTAAAGAAAGCCCTCTATGGCTTAAAGCAAGCTCCTCGTGCTTGGTTTCAGTGTTTTAGCTCATTTCTTCTCACACTTGGGTTTTCTTGCAGTCGCGCTGACACGTCCCTTTTTGTCTTCCATCAGCAATCTAACCTTATCTATTTGCTTCTTTATGTTGATGACATTATTGTTACCGGCAACAACTCATCTCTTATTGACAGCTTTACTCGCAAGCTTCATTCTGAGTTTGCTACCAAAGATTTGGGTTCTCTCAATTACTTTCTTGGTCTTTAAGTTTCACCCACTCCTGATGGTCTCTTTATTAGTCAGTTAAAATATGCTCGAGATATTCTTACTCATGCTCAGTTGCTCGATAGCAAACCAGTTCACACTCCCATGGTTGTTTCTCAACACCTGACTGTTGATGGATCTCCTTTCTCTGATCCAACTCTCTACAGATCTCTTGTTGGCGCCCTTCAGTACTTGACTATTACGCGTCCAGATATTGCCTATGCTGTCAATTCTGTCAGTCAATTCTTGCATGCCCCTACTGCAGATCACTTTCTTGCTGTCAAATGTATTCTTCGCTATGTCAAAGGAACACTCCACTTTGATCTTACCTTTCGTCCATCCACTGTTCCTAGTACGCTAGTCGCTTATTCAGATGCTGACTGGGATGGTTGTCTCGATACTCGTCGTTCTACATCCGGCTATTCTATTTATCTTGGGAACAATCTTGTTTCTTGGAGTGCCAAAAAGCAACCTACTGTCTCATGCTCCAGCTGTGAATCTGAGTATCGTGCTCTTGCCACAAATGCTGCTGAACTTCTTTGGGTTACGCATCTTTTGCATGACCTCAAGGTCCCTATTTCACAACAGCCCTTACTCTTATGTGACAACAAAAGTGCTATTTTTTTGAGCTCTAATCCCGTTTCTCACAAGCGGGCCAAACATGTTGAACTAGATTATCATTTCCTTCGAGAACTTGTTATCACTGGCAGACTTCGCACACAATATGTACCCTCTCATCTCCAAGTTGCTGACATCTTCACAAAGAGTATTTCTCGACCTCTCTTTGAATTTTTCAGATCCAAGCTTCACGTTCGTTCAAATCCGACGCTCAGCTTTCGGGGGGTGTTAAGGATAGTTGACCGTTCATTAGATATTTGCCTTACATTACGGGTTACCATATTTGCCCTTTTATTAAAGAAAAATATAATGTATTGATTTATTATTCTTTCCTTTTATTGCTATTTTCATATTATTTTTAATTTACCATATTCTGTATTCAGTAAATGATTATAAATAAGAGAACTCTCACCACCATTTAGATGTGGTGGATTCAGCAAAAATTCACAGAAGGTGTTGTTCAAATTTAAGATGAATGATACTAAATCCAGGACTACCCATTTGCCAAATCGTATTAGATTATCAAAGGAGCAATCTCCCAAGTCCCAAGACAGCCAAGAAAGTGAGCACATGGCATTAGTTCCGTACGCGTCTGCAGTTGGAAGTTTGATGTATGCTATGGTCTGCACTGGACCTGATATAACACATGCAGTGAGAGTTGTTAGCAAGTACATGGGGGAAAAAACATTGGGAAGCTGTGAAGTGGCTTCTGAGATATCTGACAGGTACATCTAATACTTCACTTTGTTATAGCAATGACAAATTAGTTCTGCAAGGTTCTGTGGATGCTAATCTGAGTGGAGATGTAGACTCTAGCAAGAGCACATCTGGATATATCTACACTATAGATGGAACAACATTGAGTTGGATGTCTAAGCTTCAGAAATGCGTTGCTCTTTCATCTACTGAGGTTGAGTACGTGGCAATAGCTCAAGCTGGAAAGGAGATCATATAGATGACAAACTATCTAGAAGAATTAGGCAAAAAGTAGCACAAGAAGATTCTTTATACAGATGGTCAGAGTGTCATGCAATTGGTGAAGAATCCAGTCTATCATTCAAAGACAAAACACATCAGAAGGCGATATCATTTCACTCACAGGTTAGCAGAAGAAGGTGATATGTGTTTGGAGAAGATAGAGGGTGCAAAGAATCCATCAGCCATGTTGACAAAATGTGTTGATGTTGAAAATTGAGGTTATGCAAATCCTTAATTGGTATGGTGCAGCGAAGGTACTGATGGTGGTTTGAGAATGAAATTCTTGGTTGACTGGATCAGTCTCCAGGTGGGAGAATTATTAGGTTATGGAGCTTGCTTATTTATAGCTTAGTAAACGGTATAGCAAAACTATATATGGTAAATGACATATAAAGTAAATTGTCATTAATAGTAAATAGCTATATATAGAAAAAAGTTATATTATGGTAGATAGTTATATATAGATGATATATGTATGCATAGTAAACTGAACCATATATATCGAGCTTTGTAAATGTACTCTATTTATTTATATTCTTATTGTACATATATAAAGTCATCCATATAAACTTTTGGCCAATATTCCTCATTGCATTTTCTCTCTCCTATTATTTGTGTTCATCTGGATCGAATGTGTGCATTGTTGTGCGATCCTAATACAACAAGAGTTAGATAAAATTTTCCTACTTTTTCATGTACAGTATCTTGAGTCTTGTCCAAATGGGATTAAATCCTACTTCCTCGCCGGAGTAGACCCACTAAAATTTCTTATTGGTTAGAGTGTTTGGGACTTTTTCAAGACACGACTTCTTCATGAAAATCCTTTCTTATACCTTACTCAAACTTAAGAGATGATTTTGAAGGGATGACTTTGTAGAAGCTTGACAAGTTTTGGAGTTCAATTCTTGGTTTGCAACTCAACCCAAAACGCAGAACTTGGTCTTCTTAGGCATCTTGGTCGAGGACAAGTTAGGCCTCGATTCCTTCATAAAAATGTCAAACTTAACCCTCTGAACCTAATAGAATGTTTAATTTTGGATGAGAAGGACCATAAGTCAAAAATTCGAACTTCCCCGAATTCTTACTCGAAAACGATTTTCTCCAATTGGGTAGGCTCGCCCTTCGCGACCTTGAATGAAAATGATCCTTGGAGGTGCATAAACCAAATGAAATAGGCCTTGCACGACGAATTTGTCTGTAGTTTAGAAGCACTGTCAAGCTTTTTTCAAGCTTCTTCAATGACGGTCATATTGGACGTTTAGGTTAGAAGCACTTTCAACATTTAGTTTCTTCACCAAAGTTGTGGACAATCTTGTTTAGAGTGTGCAGAAACAGGTTTGAAGGGAATTGGTGAACCATAACTCTCGAATTTTAAAGAACTCCAGGAGTAAGTGATATGAACCAAAAGACATCAATCATACAATATACTTCAATGAAGATGTGAAGAAAAAGTTGTCAAAATTATCAAAAGATGTTTCAATAAATGCACATTGAAGAAGAATGAAGTTTGATTGTTATAAATTTTGGGTGAGTTACAATAAAGAGTAATTTAGAATTATTGTATTTTAAGAGTTTTTATTTACTTTAGGTTATATTTACATAATTGCTAATTATGGCCATAAAGTATGAATGTTACAACTCATGTAATGCCTTTAATAGTTTCATTTTTGAGGCTATATAAAGCCTTGTATGTTGTATTTGTAAGGGAGACTTAGAAAATATAGTAAAAGAAGCATTTGTGCTTTTCTTTAGCCAACGACTAAGATTCTTTGCAATTCTATGTAGTTTAGGTTGCATGTAAAATCATTCAAGCTTGACATGATCAATCTTGCTTGTGGAGTGATTCGAATCTCAAGGCAAGAACAAGCAAGTGTTCTTGCCTTGAGATATTTGATCAACAAGAATCATTCAAGCTCGACGTGATCGATCTTGCTTGTGGAGTGGTTCGAATCTCAAACAATGTTCTTGCTTTGAGAAATTCGATCAACAAGGTAATCTGAATCTTATTCCCCTTGTAGTGATTCCTTATCTTATCAAGACATCTCCCTTCCCTTCAATTTCCAAGGATTTGTTGTCGGCAAGATTCACCTTTCCGACATTTCCTAATTTGAAATTTCGAAACAATTCTTTACTTGGAGATGAATGGAATAATGCACCTGAATCCAAAATCTAGGATTCAACCAGGTTGTTCACACTAAGAATTAAAGCATCATCAATATCTTCTGTTGTATATATAGAATCATCATCATTTGTAAATTTATGATTCTGCTTTTTCTCCACAGCTCCAACACGTTACGTTGGGTTTGTTTGGAGATTTTTCTCGATTTTTTGATTTTGATCGCCCGTGTTTGTTTGAGCTCTTTGATTTACTTCTTCTCCTTCACTCAACACTAAGAGCATTGCCTAATGAATCTCCAATTTCCCATTTGCAAATACTTTTGCTAAGAACTACATCTTAAATTTAATCAAACTTCAGTTTATCAGATCCTCAAGAACTGCTAATTGCAACAACAACAGTATCCCATGACTCGAGTAAAAATGACATCAAATCAACGCTTTAATTTTAGTGGTTAGAATCGCACAACAATGCACACATTTGATCAAGATGAACACAAAAAAACAACGCACACACTTGATCAAGATGAACACAAAAAACAGGAGAGAAAAAATGCAAGGAGGAATACTGGCTAAAGTTTATATTGATTACTTCAGGTATGTAAAGTAACAGAATATAAAGACTACAGAAATTACATCGGTGATATATATAGTTCAGTTTACTATTAGAACCTATATATAACTATCTACCGTATATAGCTTTACCACATATATCATTTACCATATATAGCTTTACTATGTATAACCGTTACTAAGCTGTAAATAAGCAGGCTCCATATCCTAACATAACATGTTGTTCCATTTTTAAGTTTTTTGAAGGAACGAGGGGGAGAAATGCTCTACAATGTTGTTTTCAGAAGGTGGTGCTAACAGCACAAGCGTCTTCTTCCCCTATGGGAGGAAGAAGACACGTCAACCCAAATTTAACCTCCCTTGATTTTTCATTTAATTGAATTCCTTCTAGATCAATTCTCATAAAATTCTCAATGGTTCTAGAAACTAGACACCCCAAGAAGCCTACCAAATAAAAATTGGAGTACTTCGAGTGCCAAAAACTCAAGAATTGAGGACCCAAACATCGACTAAGAGGTCGGTAACCAATTTAATCTTTTCTTAAGAAATACTAGTGGAAATTGTTTGGAATTTAAAATAAACCTTAAATGATTTAAGTAGGAACTAATGGAATATGGAAGAAACAAACGAAGAACTGTGTGAGTTAAGGAACTAAATCGAGCATTTTGCTCGAAAATTAAGTAACAATAAAATAACCCACCAAATGGCACATTAAGGTCATACATTAAGTTAGGTGGACAAGGTTAAGAATCTAAAGTAATTAGAGGTGTAAAATGACCATAATGCCCCTAATGTAATCTACCTACAATTCACGACCCTAATGACCTCTAAACTATATGAAACTTTATACAAGACCCCAAATTATGACTTAGCAAGATTAGTAAATTTTCATGGCCATCGTACCATGGTTGGAGCATCGTACCATGTTTGGGGCTCCAACCATGATTTATGTGGAAACTTACCATATATGACCTGTTAAGACTAAGGATTTTCAAGAATTTAAGTTTTCCATTTGGTCATGTCATCCTTAAGATTTCTTGAGTACTTATGACATGAGTATATCCATGAGAATGCTTGTGTTTACTTTAGGGCCATACATGTACCATGAATAGGGTTTGCTATAAGAATCAAGTATACCTAGAGCTTTTCACGTACCATGCCCCAAGAACTAACATACCTTAGGACCATGCAAACTCATACCCTAAAGTCATGATACTTAAGTCTACTTGGTGCCATGCTACTATACTTTAAGTGACTACGACTTCCCACCACGTAGTGTGTTATGATGCCATATTCCTCTTCTAGGTGTGTTACGACGACCTCCCACCACACAGTGTGTTACGATGCCATGTTCCTCTTCTAGGTGCGTTATGATGAAGTATGCACTTAGAAGAGGATATTACGACGACCTCCCACCACGCAGTGCGTTACTTTAGGACGTGCTTGGTGCATTACGATGACTTACACCATGTCTCATGAACAAAATATCATGATGGGTCTCATACTTCCATCACCTAGATGAGATGTCCTACGTCATGTCCTACTAGCAAGCTGTCCTAAGCTACTACTTCACCTTATCATTTTTATCATTCCTAAACGAATGGTCAAATTGAGATAAAAGTCCAACCAAATAGGAAAAGTTGATCCTTCGTGCTAGACAATGCTTTATAGGCTTACATAGCAGCATACACAATACCACTAAGCAAGTCACTTTACAAGTCAGTGTTTGGAGAGGCATGTCTCACTTTAATCAAGAAGCTGGAGAAGTTAAGATACTTTTGTTATGAGAATGCAAAACTATACAAAGAAAAAAACTAAGGGCTCGAATTATAAGAAGATTAAGTAAAGAAATTTCTTAAAGATCGCAAGGTCCTTTCATACAACTCCATTTGATGTTCTAATATTCACGAATAAATTTATAACTTTTAACACTTTAATTTTATGTTTAGATAAATTTGCCAGTTTTAATAAAAATATCAAATACAAACACCTCAAAATTCAAAAAATCTAATACAATTTTAAGTCTCCACGGTTTCAAAAAATTAATCTACTAGATACTTTTAAAGCTACATTTATCTAATAAAAAATTTGTTCAATAAAAATGAAAAAAAAAAAATTATAATTCTTCCCTACCAATATAAGTTTATTTTTACTTTTGCATATTCCAATTCAAGCAAATATGAATTCAAACTTACGACCTAAAACTAGTTGATCAAGCTAACAACATCCATAACAACATCAACCGAACATCTTTAATGATGGTTCCATCGAAGAACTTTGGAACTGACATTTAGTTATGATTTCATTCATAGAGAATGATCAAGTCAAGTTAAACATTTCAGCAGGTCAACCTGTGTAATCAGAGAATAAAAATGGTAAATGATCAATTAAAATTAGAAAACGAGAAAAAAAGTGCCTCACTTATGCTTTTATTCGATACGAACGATCTTGCGATTCCAATATCTAAACTTGCAAATCTCATCAAAGAAATCATCTGCACTGCTATGGCTACTCTTCATTCGAAGAATTTTTATTACCATGGTCTTCAAATTCTTGCCATACTTTATCAACGATTCGAGAGTATTCATCTTCTGTTCGGCATTCAACGGCGATCTAACCGAAACCGATACTTCCTCCAAACACGAGATTACAAAATCTGGATCCACCTGAGTCCCAAAAGAACGTAATTTATAAGCCAAGAAATCCATTTCAAGAACAAGTTGCCTTAAATGGCAGTGATTATACTTACATTTTTAAGGCTGTTCTTCTGGCAAAGAGCAGCAAACATGGCTCCATGAATGTCAAACTTTTGCAACTTTGGATGGTTATTGAAAAACTCAACAAAGTCAATCTCTGGGAAAGGTTCAAGTGCATCAAAGTCTCCGGTGAACTCAACTTTCATGTAAAGATGCTTCACCTCACTCCCTAATTCAAGCATTTTGCTTATTGCATCCCAGCACCATTGAACTCCTCTTATGGACAATGACTCCAATGAAACCAGCTGATCAAAATCCACCATGTAAACTCTTCCTGAATCAAAGGTTTCCATACAAAATAAAAAACTAAGTTATCATGATTAAGGTGTAACGACCCAAACCCTCCGTTAGTAGATAATTGTCTTATTTGGACTTTTCCTTTCGGACTTCCCCTCAAGGTTTTTAAAATGCGTCTACTAGGAAGAAATTTCTACACCCTTATAAAGAATGCTTATTTCCCCTCTCCAACCGATAGGATCGCACAACAACGCACACACTCGATCTAGATGAATACAAAGAATAGAAGAGAGAAAATGCAAGAAGGAATATTGGCTAAAGGTTTATATTGATGACTTCAGGTATGTACTACAAGAGAACACGTAAGGACTACATTTCCATTGTTACGAGGTATTTTGGGGAAACCAAAAGCAAAGCAATGAGAGCTTATGCTCAAAGTGGACAATATCGTACCATTGAGGAGATTCGTGATTCCTAACTGTGGGATCTCACAAAGGGCTTCTATTATCGAGTGTTATGAGCATAATTCGTGTGCTTAGAAGATTTGTAGTTATGATGATTACCTGCATTGTTGGATATTGACAGACTTCTCAAGGAACTTGTCCCACAGGCTCTAATCCAGCTACAGCCTTGAACTTCAAGGAGTTGAATGTTAGGAGAATTGATCATGAGTGAGCAGTTTCCCAAGCCATAGAAATCCAGCTTACACTGCTCCAAATGCTTCAGTTCAATTGAAACTGAAGTAAGGCCTTCACAGCCAAGGAGCAATAAGTTGGATAGATTAGGACATGCACGAAGAGCCGTGTTCAAAGCAGGATCATCTAACTTAGCACCAACAATCTCAAGGTTTCTTAGCTTTTGAAACACATCCCACCTTGGTGAATGTGTCATTAAGACACCCCATAATTTAAGTGACTCCAAATTTGCTGCAGATTTAAGGCATTCTAACTTGGAATGGCTATCTTGACAAGCCTGAAGATCAACCAGATTGTCCATTCTTAGCTCGAGACGTCGAAGCGAAGGGCCGACACTAGACAGCCATGAAGCAAGACCAGCACCAGAAAATGGGCTATAAACAACAAGCTCCTCTAAGTGAACAATGGATGATATTATTCTCCAAATGATGATGTCGGGACTCAACCCACCTGAATGATTGTCGAAGGAATTGCGAGGAAAATAGAGACTTTTAATGTATGGTGTTGAGTATTTCCATCGCTTAGATACACAGTTGCAGACTGCCACATCCCGAGCATTGCTCATATGTGACAAAACGTACTGAAAAATAGCATCCGGGAGCGAATCCATTCTGTCCGAACAAATATCAAACAGATTGTTATGAGAAGAAGAACCATACGGAGCATCGATCATTCGAACTGACTGATTCAACAAAAGTTCATATAGTTCAGCAAATTGCATGAAATTACAGAGACTAATTCACGACCTATACTCAACAACTACGCAAAAATGCATCCATGTTTTCTTTCAAATTCCTCCAAAAGTTCTTAGAATTGTAATCCGACAAAGAACACATTCCCCTGATAAATTAGAATCTAGCAGATCTTATGAAGAAACGAACAATGTTATTCTAGATTCTTGACTAATAAAAAAAAAATGGCGAAGAGATTAGTAGAAATCGCACAGTTCTTGAGCTGAATGAATGAAAAGGAAAACAAAATCGAAATTCAAAATGAGATCCCTGCAAGAACATGTTGAAAAGAGTTGAAACGAAAACAAATGGCGCAGAGTTAGGAAACAAAAAAACAGGAGAAAAAACACGAATCGAAGCAAAATGCATGAAATGAAAGAAGTAAAGAACAAGGAATCCGGCATTAAGTTGCAGAGATTGAAGAAGGAGAAGGAGCTTACAATTATGGAGATGAAATTAGAGGGGGGAAAAACAGGAAGAAGAGTGAAAATGGAGACGGATCTGAGGGTTGGTGTCGGGAGCGCGCTTATAGAGAGACGTTTTGGGAGAGGAAAAAAGAGGGAGGGAGGGAGGGAGGGAGAGAGAGGGAGGTTTGGATTTTTCAAAATTTGAAAGCTTGGGACTTGGGAGGGACGATTACCTCTCTCTCTTCTTTTGGATTTCCCCTCTTTCTTTTTCTATTTTTTTTTAATATTAATTAATTAATAATATAATTTTTTTTTTAATGTTTTTATTGTATTCAAATTTTAAATTTAAATTTTCTTACAAAACAATTAGGCTAAAAAAATAGAATTCATTTCATTTTTTTTTTCATTTACTCTAAGATATCTATTATTAATAATATAAAAATATACTATTTTTTTCGTTAGAAAAATGAAATTAGGGACGGAGAATATAATCTCTATCCCGTCATATTTAATATAAATATATTTTCAACACATTTATTTATTTATTTATTTATATATATATATATAGATAAAAGCTTTTTTCTGTCGTATTAAAAAATAAATTAACTAATTTTAAGACTTTCCTAGTAAAATATTTATTTATTATTTTGAAATATATTGATTTATTTATAATTTTAAATAATATGGTTAAAACAATTTGCATTAAAAGTTGACGTGAACTTAAAAGTTCATAAATTCATATCAAGTTTATGTAATAGCGTTATAAAATTAATATAGTTGAAAACGGAAAACAACATCTCTTATCATAGTTTAGAAATAAATTTTGTTGTCCTATTCTAGCATCGAGACGACAACATAAATGTCGAAATATAACTAATGTGACTTGATTCCATTGCTTCCTGAGTTGATGTCATCATCCGTACCTGAGAGCTTTGGCTTTACTTGGGAAATATGGTATATGGTGGGAACTACTTTTCGTGACTATTTCTTGGGTTCTACTTTCTTTTTCGAGTAGCGCTGAATGCATGGTACTTTTTTATACACAGTTCACACGCACACACATGAACCCGCTAGGCGGCCTCATGTATGCATGCACATGCTCACGCTACTAGAAACCAATAGAAACAAAGGAGCGCGTATGAACATGGTCGCCTGAATTTTCACTTAGGCCCGGTTGAGAATGTATGAGTTGGCTTGAGGTTGTGATTAAGAAAAATCGTGTACAAATCAAAGTGAATGACCTTAGGGCCGTTAAAGAGACCGAGGATGATTTTCTCTCCATGTTTTTGAATTGAAGTGAGGCCTCTTAAACCTCAAGAATGAATCCACGACAATTTAGGTTTTAACCTCGTGTTTGGACAAATTTACGCATTTAGAGGTAGATTACCTATATTTTTGTAGGAGTCGAAGGCGGAAAATTTCCAAAACATATTCGCCCACTTCAGTTCTTAATTATGAGTTACAGGTAAAAATTAAAAGATTCAATTCGAGTTATAGTGTAAAATTTATCTATTATGATCATGTCCTTTGTGTTTCTGGAAACTTAAGGAGCAAGTTTGAAGAAGGGCATGAAGGTTAATAAGCTCGGGTTAAGGAGAATTCTGAGATTCAAACTATCGAGTAAGTTTTTTTATTACTGTTTTTTAGAAAATTCCTAAATTCACCATCGGTATTCAATCTGATTGAGTAAGACCAAATGCTTTAGTGTCATTGTAAATTTTAATGAAGGAAGTTCGAGCTGAGGGGTTTTGAAATGCGTGCGAATAAGTTGACTTTTTTCTTTTTTTTTTGTGAGAAATTCATCCCATAAGGTGTATGCCATTAGATTCGGTGGAAAGAAAGGAAATTTTTTTCGAAAAGCTCGAGGCTTGATAAAGTCTTTAAAATACGAATGGTGTGTAACTTGTCTTCTCCAATCCGTCTTCACGTATAATGAATCATTTGAAATTGAACTAATTCCTAGACATTCATGGACGTTAGGACTAGAGATTTTGTGGAGAAACAAACTAATACGAGAGGAGCATTGTAAAAGGCTAGGAAACTCAAGTTTTAGTCGCTAGAGGTAGACCACGCACATCTCCTTCCTGTCTAGAGGAAGAAAATAATGACGTGGGCGGTTCAATTGAACTAACCATGACTTGATTTTTATGAATCCTTCTTGGTTTCTAGTCAAATTAACTCTCTTAGACTACGCACGTCTCCTTTTTATCTAGAGGAAGAAAATGATGACGTGGGTGGTTTAATTGAACCGACCACGCCTTGATTCTTCTGAACCCTTCAGTGCTTTTAGTCAAATTAACTCTCTTAATAATAAGATCTCACGGAAATTTCAATGGATTTTAAAAGCTAACACAAAAGGGGACCTACTTAAGAAAATTTGAAGGATTTGAGTTTGGGAAGAACTTGAACCGAGTCCTTGAACGTGATAGAATCAGAAAGTAGCCATTTTAAACTTCTCTTAAGAATTACGGGTAGAAATCATTTGGAAATGTCTTAGAAAGTTATGTTTACTTAATATTAAGAGGATACAGTAAGATTATGACAAGAACCACATGTTAAGAACCTTAATTAGACGTTTTACGGTTGTCAACTTCTCCCTACCCGATAAGTTATATGCAGTAAGCCGTTGTTGTTGCCTTTTCGCTTACATTCCCATATAACACTAATCTCAATTCCTCAAATCTTGCTTTCAAAACTCTCTTTTAAATCTCTCTGCCTCAATTTTCTAAAACTTTCTTCTTGAACCGGGGCCAGAGTCTCGAGTATATGTTGCTTGGTCGTAGGGCACGTAAGAACGAATAGACTTAACTCACTTGTTGATGGGAAGTGAGTGCTGCACAATCGCATGTCCGTTGTCATCAAAGTGCGATTGTGACAAGTAGTTACCTATTAAGGCCTAAAACTAAGTAAATTATAAAATTGATCCACTAAATGAACTTTCCAGTACATGAAATTGTAAAGTATGATCTTATACTATGAATTCATGATGGGGGCTTAATTTGAAGGTTATAGGAGCATGTTTAGAGTATAAATCAACGATAAAGTTTAAAAATGACGAAAATGCCCAATCATACCTTCTATGATATTTTATGGTCTTAATGAACTCCGAATGATAATAAAATTTTACCTAACACCTATTTATGATATTGTAAACGATATAGGCATGGTTTTAAGAAGGTTAAGCATGAGAATAACATGTATGCTTTGGAATAGAGCCTTCATGAACTATATAAAATGTTGTATACTTAAAATGTGTTCATAACTTTCTACGATGGATTCGTTGGAGCCAAAATTATGAATCTATGACTTTTTCCTTAGCTCTACGAGTATGACCCAACCAAACCCTAAAAAAGGCACAACAATAACTCTAAGCCTAATACACGCCTAGGTAGCTAAGTACCATTCAATGTAAGAGATTCAAACTTGCTTTGTGTCGTAATTCACCCTAGGCCTTCCACTATGCACTACACTATAATCACATGTTTTTCTAATCTCAGGTTGTGGGATGCCCTGCTCAGTTTTGTAGGATGTCAGACTCAAACTGTATTATAATGGATGAGAAATGTTAGGATTGTTATGAGCCGAATCCAAACATAGGTTTTTTTTAGGTTCATTTTGTTTACCGACCATGAGATCTAGTAACCTCAAGATCAAGACTAGTGCTACATATTGTGCGTGGAAAATGAAGTAGACAACCTAATGAAATCCACTCTCCTTAAACCTATCCTAGGGCGAGGGACTACATAAGCACATAAGTTAGGGCTTAGGCAGTCTATTGATCAAAGCCTCAAAGCCTCAAAATTCAGAACTTAGAACCTCAAAATCTAGAGCCCTGAACAAACCTGCATGTTTATGTCTTATGATCAGGATTAGAACGTTGTACCTTAGCTTTGGCTATGTACATGATCAAGAGCCTACAAACAGGCTACTTACTGGGTATTTTATACTAATCCTAGTTCTTTACCGTTTTTCAGGTAATGACTAGACGCTGGTTAAGGAAGGGAGCAGTCTGAAGTAGACGACCATAGAGACAACCTACTTTAGGAGTCTCCTTCGGTTTTGTGTCTTTTGTCTTTATCCCGTATTTTGTAAATTGTTTCCCTTTTTGTATTTTGAACTTAAACTTAGATTTTATAAAGTTATGTATAAACTTTAGGTATGTTTTATGTTTTATTTTTTATTTTGAGTTTCCTTATTTTTAGAAGTGATTTTTTTTTATCCCTTCCATGTCAGTCTATGTCATGATCCGTGCTTCAGGTAGCTCAAATCAGGCTATGGCATTGTACATATATGCATCCATGACATCGTACATATATGCATCATGTTTACATGACAGTCATCATATGATCCATCACATAACTTTACATGGCAATACATAACATGACGTATATAGTAATTCATTTCATTTACTACGTGGCGTAATGAATATCAAATGCATACATATAATAGCATCATATGCCATTACATAAACATATACACATAGCACAAACAATATGGTGCATGCAGGGGCCATAGACGTGAATCATCATACATCGTTTAGCTACCTAACTCCAAATGTCACTGACATGATTAGCTTAACCTGGTGTTACCAATTTACCAAGTCAACTCATGTTAGCCCATGACATTAATTTTATGTCCAAACTTCTGTCAAACTATTTCTTTAAATTTTACAATGATTGGATAAAACCTAGACTTAGCTTGAAGTATAGATCGTGATGTGAACCGACACGAATGAGTTATGAAAATATGGTAAAAAAATCTTTTTATAAAAACAAGAATGCTTTGGGAATTTGACCATTATTCATTTAATTTTTTAGGTATAATTTCAAAGGTTCACTTTTCTCTTCTTAGTGGGATGAAGAATCTCTATTTCGAGGAATATCTCTTCATGCGAGGAATGGGGAGAGAAGGAACACAAGTTTTTTCATGCCATCACAACCATTATCATGGAGGCAAGAAAAAATTTCTAGTTAGGAAAGGAGAAAAAGGAAGGAAACTTTGAACGGGAAGCTTTAGCCTCGAGTTATAGAAAAACGTGATATTATTTATTGGATATGTCATACGATCAAAATATGTCGAAACAAATAAATAAATAAATAAATAAATAACTTAAGGAGAGATTCCTTCGAGAGAATAGTATACATCTCATAAATACTAATATAGTGTTACTCTACAAATTAACCATTACTCACCATTAATATTTTATATGGCTAACTTAAAGTTATCAACTCGGATTATCATTTAGTCGAATTTTCAAATTAAAATAATTTTGGCTTTGATTTTAATGTTTTCCAAATCATTTTTCTTAAAACATTTCAATTGTACGACAAATTTTAAAAAAATTAAAACTTAGTTTTCATCCTTTTATATAAACATTTAAGTTTTTGACGACAAGAGCAATCTCAATAGAGCTTACAACCCAATCAACTCAACTCTATATTTTTCAAGTTAAGTTGAGTTGTCGGGTTGTTCTTTTTTTTTTTTTTTAGTTATTAAAATTATTCTACTTATCCCACCATACATGTTACATTAATAATTAAAATTTTATAAATTTCAATATCAAACATTTACAAGTTAAAACACATCACAATGTATCACTAAGGTTGAATAATCTTAATTTTTTTAAATGATAAGATAAGTTGAATTGTAACCTTATTTTTGAATTGGTTGAATTGACCCAGTAAAAAAAAAATGTCAACTTGCAAACCGAACCAAATTTTTAGTTTTTAAAAATTCAACCCGACTCAAATTGAAACAAAAACAATCTAACACAATCCAAACGTGGTTTGGATTAGATAGTCCAAATTAGTCAAGTTATCGAGTTATATAAACCCCCTAATGTAAACATTGGCTAATTAATGATCAAATTTGTTCCTACACAACCATTTTTCAAATCAAAATATACACCAACTTCAGTTTCTATGGCCTAAAACTATAGAAAAGTAGAAAAGTAGACCTTGCAAGGCTAATATTAGGAGTACATCTGTACATGCACATTCTTCGCAATTAGTACTTGATGATGCTTCTACAATTTTTCCCCCATTTGTATTGACCAAAAAGCTTACAGAGAATGCAATTTTCCAAGAGATACAAGGCATTCAAATGCTGGGAAAATGAAACTTACCTCATCTAGGTTCTTTTTCTCCAATTGATGAGGTAAAAAATTGGAGCCCTGTCTGTAAATGTTATTCGGCCATTGTTGAAAGAAGGTTCCTGCTTCCAGGCAGGCCCAAGAAGCCACGATGCTGCTACCCCACCTAGAAATCCTCCAAGCTGACATATCAATGGAACAAAATCAGCACCCCGACAACGTTGCACATACAACCATCTTTGCAACATTTGACAGTTTAATGCTTGAAATGAAGAAAGTTTCAATCCATAATTCTTCACATTTTACTCAGATCAATTAAATTTAGAAATGACTGCACAAATCACTCCAGTAATTGCATGCTCCAATACTTAATAAGAGGTTTCATATGGAAATGGTTAGGTTTATTTAAAACAAGAGATTTTGTTGGAACATCATTGTAACTATTTTAATGGTTTCATCTTTTACCTCTTTAGTTCAAAGTATCATTAACGAAGTTAAAATGGTGACAATTTCATAAGCTTAGGAGGATAAATGCTCAAAATGAAAGAAGATATAATTATAACAAGCTAATAGTACAAAAGTCAATTTTGCATTTACTCCTTCAAGTTTATGCTGCACTATTCCTGAAAAAATTCAGATCTTAAGACTTTTAAAGATGTTGAAAACGGCACATCCAAATATCCTCCCCCTAATTGTGATTTTATTACCACCGTTATTGTAATGGCAATAACGGCTCAGTGTTTTCGCTGGCATGGATACCGGGCAGTGTGCCAGCGAGTACGCTGAGCCCTGAAGGAGGGTGGACATCAGACAGTTTGTCAGCAAGGATGATGGACCCTAAAGAGGATGGATTGTGAGATCCTACATCGATTTGAGAGAATAGCGAATGCTAGCAAGGACGTTGGGCCCCGAAGGGGGTGGATTGTGAGATCCCACATCGATTGGAGAGAAGAACGAATACCAGCAATGACTCAGGGCACCGAAAGGGGTGGATTTTGAGATAACGAGTGCCAGTGAGGATGCTGAGCCTCAAAGGGGGGTGGATTATGAGATCCCACATCGGTTGGAGAGGGGAAGAAAACATTCTTTATAAGGGTGTGGAAACCTCTTCCTAGCAAACGCGTTTTAAAAATATTGAGGAGAAGCCTGAGAGAAATAGCTCAAAAAGGACAATATCTGCTAGCAGTGGGCTTAGACTGTTCCAGCTATCTAAAAAGAAATTTCCGTCTTCCAATTGGTTGACTTGGAAGTTCCTCTCAGAAGAAAATATTCAACCCAAACAAATCAGAAGGTCAAGTCAATAGATACCAACGGAAATTGCAGGTCTAAATGCAGTTTTTCCTGCATAATTATTCTCCTTTCTAAAGCTGTATTAGGTATCTGAATATAAGAAAACACACTAAAAAATCTTGCAACATCAAAGAAAAGATTACAATATAACAATAGCCTTTGGAGAGGGCTCTCTCTCTCCCATAATCCACCCACTTTGGATGGACCACTCAAAATATGATCTCATTTCCTCCACTTAACTGCTTAGCTAATTACCACTCTACCCTTGCTCATATCCCAATAATATTAGTAATATTACCAATATATTCATTTTACCAATATTTCCATCATGTAATTGGTTGACTTTAAAATTTCTCAGAAGAAAATATTCATTCCAAATAAATCACAGGCGGTCAAGTCAACAGATAACAAGGGAAATTGCAGGTGCTTCAAATGCAATTTTTCCTGCATAATTATACTCCATTCTAAGCTATGTTCCACATGCACCCATATAAACCCGCCTATTATACTCTTTTCCTCAACTAGAGAGAAAAGTACAAAATAATATGTAAAAATTTACATTGCTTTTGTAGCAGCATAGTTTCAATTTTATAAAATAATAAAATAAGAAGTAGCAAGTCATATTAAAAAAAAAACTGAATTATTTTGTTAAAGAAAAGAGACATTGTATATTATCTTATTTTCTCTGTCCGGACGCAGTGCTCTGCGGCGATACGGACTCGACCTGCTCCTACCCATCCCGGGGTATCACCCCAATTTTGACTTCTGGTTACGGCGAACGAATAATCACTCATGCAAGAGCTCATAGGTGAAGGAAGGAGAAAGAACCAAACAAACACCTATTTACATCCGAAAGGTTAAATTGCTGTCGAGAAAAAGTCTCTCTTCTTTTTCATTCCCGTCGTAGATCGAGTTCTGGGGAGGAATTCGGGATCCATCTTGTCTCCAAGACCCAACCCAAGATGAGTGAGCATGAAGGAGGCAAACAAAATTCGTGAAAGTGCTCTAAGAGGAGTGATCACGAAAAAGGAAAGCAAGGCCCGTGGAAGCGTTCTAGAATAAGTGAGCACAAGAGAGGCAAGAAACGTCAGTGAAAGTGTCCCAAGAGGAGTGAGCATGAGAGAGGTGAGCAACTCTTGCAGAAGTGCTCCAAGAGGAGTGAGTACGAGAGAGGGGCGCAACACCCCTAGAAGTGTTCTAAGAGGAGTGAGCACGAAAGACGTAACACCTGTGGAAGTGCTCCAAGAGAAGTGAGCACCAGAGAGGCGAGAAACGCCCATGGAAGTGCTCTAAGAAAGTGAGAACGAGAAAAGTGAGCAATGCTCGTGGAAGTGCTTCAAGAGAGTGAGCATGAGATAAGCAAGCAACGCTTGTGGAAGTACTCCAAGGGGATAGCATGTATGAGTTCTGTGCTCTCACGACTTCAATAGAGACAAATGTGCCAACAAAAAGACTTCATAGCTTACTATTTCATGAACTAGTATTCAAGCTGAGAATGAATGATATCTATTACTCAACTTGAAGGGGAGTGTCGAAGGATTAAAAGTTAGGAGATATTTGTGTAATCTCATTTAAATAAGTAGTTGATCTCCCCAATTTATCCTATTGTTACCTAATATTTAGGGATGAATTTATTTAGATTTGTTATTACCTAGTATCTATGAATTGAGTTAGATTTATTATTACACTAGAGATTGAGTTAGATTTATGGTTACCTAGCATCTCAGAATTGAGTTGTATTGAGACAGCCTTTCTATAGTATAAAAGGCACTATACTCTTCAAAAACAGCAAACTAATTTAGTCTTGCACCGGTCTCCATTATAGCATAACTCAACAACTAAAACATCACTTGTTCTTTCGAGATTTGAGGTTCAAGTTCTCATCTCGTACTAAAAAAAAAAAGGTTATTTTATTTTTCATTAAGCTAAAAAATATAACTAGATTTTATATTAAGATAATTCACTGTCAACAAGAGGGAATAAAATGTTAATCTTTTTACCATTGAATTCTTCACCCCATCTTCAATTGTTTCAGGACTATAAATTTCTCTCAATTAGTGCTGATCATTCCTTAATGTCTCCTTGACAACCAAACCAACACTTCATAACCTTTTGCTTACGTCATTACAAAGGTGAAATTATCAAACTGGCCGGTTGTATTGCATGCTGAATCTCAGATCTTTCTCTCATTACTCACTTTTTTCTTTTCTTTTTCTCTTTCTCATTAATGTAAATTGTATGACTAGACAACTTGAATGAAAAACTAACAACATAGAAGACAAATCATAAACTTGGTCCCATAAAGTTTATGATTTGTGGTAATATCTTGATTGCAAGTTCAAGTTTGTGAAGTATTTGGCCCCTGGTCAAACATGCCAGATATTATTGGCAGGGGATACTTGTGACGTACTGTCACTTTGTTGTTTTAAGCTGTATAGTCGATGCTGTCCCATTTTTCTCCCTCTGAAATAACAATGGCCCCATATGACACCTTTACAGGGAAACTAAACACTGCAGTCAATAACTAGTCTAATTGCTTTCTTAGTTTGGTTGTAGCTGGTGAAGCCATCTGATATTCGTTTTTTACTGGGGTTTGACCTCTAGGAAGAGCTTAATTTCGTGATCAATACCACGACGAGAGGGCACGTCTTTGGTAAGCTATCTTGCATTATATCAACATAGTTGTGCAAGACATCTTTGATTTCACTTGGGACAGGTTCTGTATTTGTTACATCTTTTACCATAGATATGGCCATGAATGTGGGCGCTTTTTAGACAAGCTCTTTGTTTGATTGTAATACGAAAATCATTTTTATCTACTCAACTGTTTGATGCTTGCAAAGATCACTGTGGGATTGCAATTGGTAATTACTACGCACTTCGCTACTGGCATTGAGACGACTTTGTGCTCTAGAAGAAAATTCATGTCAGTACCACGTCGAAGTCATCCATAAGAACCACGACGAGAACCATCTCTCCTGACCAAGCTCCCAACCTTAAAGAGACTCTCTTGGATACTCTTGATGGGTAGGGCCTCTAAGTTAGGAGATTTCATTTTTCCAGAGTTTCTTTCTAGAGTTCCAATCTACGGACTTCTTAGTCAGAGATGAAGTTGTGAGTCGCACCTGAGTCCACTAAATTGCTCTTACTAGGCCAAGAATGGATTATTGCATCAAACATCAGTCCCTCTCGAATACTTCTTTTGGATCAACTTTCTTTAGTATGGTTGATAAAAATTTCAACACTCCCATTCTTAAAAGAGTGTCGTGGTCCTCTTCCTTTTCTACCACTAGTTTGGCTTTTGGGTCATAACCTCCTTGTACTAAGGCTTGAAGTGCCCTGAGGGCAGCTCAATGACGAAAAGCATAGAGTCTATAGGGTCCCTTACATAGAAGACATTGTAAACTAAGTTATTTCATAGTTCCTTGTTTGTGCTATCATTCCTCTAACCCATAGGTTTGTTTGTGCTATCATTCCTCTAACCCATAGGTTTGAAAGGTCTATTCTCGATGTTTTGGGATGATGTATGTTTCCTTTGAAAGCCCGCTGAACTTTTGGGATGATGTATGTTTCCTTTGAAAGCCCGCTTCACCAATAAAGTTCAGGAGTCTCTCTACAGCCGCAAATGCAACGGCAAGATCTTGATTATGTGTTCGTAAATTTTGTTCTTGCCCATGTTGCATTTCCTCGACAAAGCTGAATACTTTGTCCTGACATATTCTTGATATCCAGCATCAAAGCAGAGAATTGTTTGACATAGTCTATTATTCCCCAGCGTATTTTAAGTTCTCACAATTTTCGCTTCGCTATGAATTCGACATTTTCGAAGGAGAACTGAGTTCTCACCTCTTTCTTAAGGTTTTCACGTGAACTAATAGTGGTAGATATCGTTGTGGTCGATGTTTGACATGCTCAGGTGCGTATTTTAGATGTGGCTAAGAGGACCACATGGCAAATAATTACCCTCGAAGGACCATGAGGGAGGTGGGAATCAACCCTCAAGTTTGAGTGGTGTCAGGGCTTCTACCCAAACTTGCCAGCAGGGGAGAGCACACAATACCACTAGCCGAGATGCTTAATTTTAACGCAGTGGTGACAAGTACACTATCAATACTTAGGCACCTTGCCTTGTACATTTTTAGTTATGTTCTACTCACTCTTTTATTTCAGCATCTTTTGGGCTTTGGGTTAGAACACTATTGAATGAATAAGGTATGACTGAAGCCAAATGAAGCAATTGAATGAATGAGGTCTAAAGCTTCTCAGCCTCAAATTATTGAACATATCAAGCAATCTTTATGACAACAGACATTTTCTAGTTCCAGCTAACTAAAAAAAAAAAAAAAAATGTTTTCATTTATTGACAAACAGTAACAGTATAGTAGTCTTCAATGGAGAAATAAATAAATGAATAAATATTGTTTACTCTCAAACTTACATGTCCCCAGTTATCGATGCCTCTAGACATCATCCCAATAGCCTGCAAGCCAAATGATCATGGAAATTATTCTCCTAATAACATACACAAGAAGTTAAATAGAAACTAACAGATTAACGTTACAGAATAGTAATTATAGATGCAATTCCAGGTTCTCGTAAAGGTTGCCAACTGATCCGCATGGTAGAAGTAAACTTAACAGGTACACTGATCAGTATTCTGAACGACCATGTGATAGTTTATTTTCACTATTCTTACCATAACATGATAATTTGAAAACCATAAAAAAATTAACAATAATAATCTGACAAAAGAAAAGGAAATTGGAAAACACACCATATTTAAGATTATTATATGAGCAATGTGCTGCAGATCTTCGTTGCCTCTACCGACCAATTTTCTATGTCTCACAACAAATGCAGCAAAGGATCCTACCTGAATCAGAAGTTTAAAAATTAAAATACTCAGGAACAAATAAAGAGCCAACCATTCATCAAAATAACTTAAACGTAACAAGTGTAGCCTTTTTTTCTCCCACGTCAGCAATATATAGCCGTCTATGACGAGACTTTTTTTTCTTTTTTTTTCTTTTTGATGAATAACAAAGCTTTTATAGAGAATCAATGAAAGAGGTACAAGAGTGTACACAACAGAAGCTCACAAAAATGAAAGGAAACTACAAAAATAGGCTCTAGTCAAGAGATACCCCTAACGAATGCTAGCAACATGCTGTGTTGGAAGTCTAAATTAGCTTGTTGTTTTTCTTATTAATTTCTAGAGAATTGTGTGTCTAAATACCCTAGATACTAGGTAACCGTATGTCTAAATAAATTCCTAGATATTAGGTAGCTAAATCTAAATAATAATCCCTAGATATTAGGTAAGTAAATCCAATAAGACAAATAACGAGGTCGACTGCTTCACTTATTTAATGAAATTACACAAATATCCTTCAACACTCCTACTCAAGCAAAGTAATAGATATCATTTATTCTCAGCTTGGTTAATCCTTCGACATATCCTTCGACATGTAGTCTCTCATATAAGGCCTTTCTTAGGATGGGACTTATTGCTTGATCAACTAGGCACCTACTATTCTCTGGTAAGTCACCCATTCTTGCCAGACTTAAAAGTTCTACAGGTAGGGAGCTTCAAGGCCACACCTTAGAGTATGTTCTGGATGTAAAATATGCAAATAATCAAAATTTTCAAAGCAGAAGCTAAGGCTTGCAATTTCTCACGTTCAGATAAACCTTTAGAGAAGCAGCAGGAGTGAACTTTATAGAAGACCGTAAATGAAGAACTCGATTGACAAAAAAATAAAAAGTAAAAAAGAAAGAAAAAGCCCAACATCCTGATATAAGGAAAAAAATCCATAACTACTATCACAATCTTTTTTTTTTTTTTTTCCTGTCATGCTTGTTGGCAAAAGTCAAGTATGCAAATGAAAAGTCATACCAATCCAAAGATTGCTCCTGATGCACCAACCGAGGGTGCCTTGCAGAACCAATAACTCATGGATGAACCTGATTTTCTTGAAATGATCGAGTCAAAAAGGTATTTAATAATATCATGGCTATTTTATTGAGATTATGAATTGTACTTGCAATTGCCGAGGCAAAGTACACTGCAAGAAATCTCCGAGTGCCAGAGATTTTCTCCACTGCAGGACCAATAGAATTTAAAGAATAACAATTTACCTGCAACAAAAACTTTCAAGTGTTGATTTCCCGTAATTAAAGAAGACAAAAATAATGCAACAGATGCCACAAAATATTAGAACCATATACCATCAAATGCCCAATATTTGCATGCAAAAAAGAAGACGTGACCAACCTCCATAACTGTCCTTGATCTATTAGAGCATTTATCTGCAAATTATAAGTGAATCATGCAGTAAACGTCCGACAAACACAGTCACAAAATTATATGCCAAACATGATATCTGCAGTAACTGAGTATCACCTTAGATCCCCATAGGAGTAACTTTCCTTCTGATGCAACTTGAGCCAGAAAAGCTCTGCAGAAAAAACACACCACATGTTTAACAGATAAGATAAACAGGAATCAGAAGAATAAAAGAAAAGTTATACATCAGAGGACATGATCGTAGGAGCTGTATCAAAGAGAAAATGGCTAACTAACTGTAAAACTCACAAAATATTAACACCAAGAAGAATAGTGGTCCATCTTCGATCGTTTTGTGGATTTCTATTTGATGTTTTCCAGTGAGATGTCGCCTCATTTTTTAAGCTACTACCAGTATCCCCGCCACCAAAGAAATATAAACAAGCAGCATGAGTGGATGATAAGATATCCTTAGATACTTCAAGAAAATTTAATCCTGGAAAACGGAGAGCTCTTGAACACCATGCACTCTTCAATTTAGAAGAGACTTCAATAAGAGGAGCAAGTTTCTGCCGGAAAAGAAATAGAGCATGACAATAATATATTATTAATCACAAAGTAGTATTATGCTTCAACCAGTATAAAAAATGGAGTTAAGAAGTACAGAACCAAGATTCACCAATTAAAAAATCAAAGAAACTGAAAAAAATGTGTTAAGATCATTACAGAAACTATTTAAAATAGCTAATACACATTGAATAGCTTTGTAGAAACATTTTAATTCAAGTATAATCAAATAAGGCCTTTGTATGCACAAAAATATTTATATGAAGGAAAGCTATGTTGACCAAAAATTAAGATTACACTGAGTAATACAGAGCAATATAAGAAATTAAATATATTAAAATGAGATGCTTTTCATAGATATATAAAGAAATTTTAAATGTACGGTTTATTAGGGGTTTACCAGACAAAAGAAAAGCCATTAGAGTTAATTACAAAGGAAGAATATGTGAGAGTACTAGTAAGGGATATTGGTAATATTAATAGGATAGTAGTAAGGGCAGGGCATGTGGGTAATTAGCTAGTGTTGACTTGGTTATAAATAAGGAGAGTTAGGGACCTTAAAGAGGGGATTTTTTTGGTGCGACGGTCCATTGTGGGATTTGGGAAAGAGATAGACCCCTTGAAAGATTATTGATATTGTAATTCTTTATTATATTCCAATATAGTAATCTTCATCGTTTTGTTATATTTTTTGTGCTTGGATACCTAACAAATTGGTATTGGCATTCATCCGGGGGAGATTGGAAAAAAAATGGCTCAAAAAAATTAAAAGAGAGGATGGATGGTATCGGAAGAGACATTGATGAGATCAAAGGTATGTTGCGTTCCTGAATCTAAGTATCGAGGGATTGACGGCGGGAATTCATGAGAACCGACAATCAGGGGAAGAAAAACAAAAAACCCATGTGGCAACAGTTAAATCCGAGATTTCCAGAGGTAAGTTTGAGATCACATCCTTCTCCGTGAATGGTTCTTCACAAAAATTGAAAGGCAAGGGGGGAGAAGGGGAAGTGAGTGGTCTGAAAATTTCCAATGAAGGCAAGTCTCAATAGAAGAAGGAAGAAACTGGAGGGGAAACATTGAAAAAATGTCAACAAGAATTGATTTGAATCGACGATGAGCAACAACCATGAACCGAAGATTTCAAGCATTCGCAGGCGGGGACGAAAGGTGGTTGGACAGCAGAGAGCATACTAGAGAACATCAATTGAGTTGCGAGGGAAAACTGATTATAAATGTCTAGAGGTATTTAGGTACAAGGAATTCATTGGCACGCGCAAGAACTATCAACATACCTATTAAACTCCAATCTAGCTGTACATGCAATAATTACTCGTTTGCAGGAGGTCAATCACAACCATCCCAAAGGTAATATAAGCTAACATGCCTCTGTTAGCAGCCATTCATCCCAAGTTCCATTTTTAGACTATAGAAAACCTATGTATTCATCTCACCTTCCTAAGCTGCTTTGAGTATTGAAGTTTTTGTCTCCAAATTGTTTCCTCTTTGAAGATAATGTATTGAAGAAGGCACTTACACTTACGAGAATTTTTATGACTCCTCAAATCATTAAGAGAGCAATGTCTTCAAAGCCATCTAACATCTTCAACTCCACAATAGTATCCTACTTTTCTTAGAAATAAATAAATCAATTACCATTTTTCTGTTCAACTCCTTAAGATAAACTTTCAAGAGCTTTAATTTTTCCATAAAATCATGTCCCGGTTAGCCTTGAAGTTGATGATATCCTGAAAAAGATTCCAGAGCAAGTGGAAATGTGAGATCCCACATCGGTTGGAAAGGGGAACGAACCCTTCTTTGTAAGGGTATAGAAACATCTCCCTACCAGGTGCATTTTAAAACCTAGAGGGAAAGCCTAAAGAGAACAATATCTACTAGCGATGGACTTGGGCTGTTAGAAATGGTATAAAATTGAAGTTATTAAAGCTCGTGGTGATGTATTAAACTATATAAGGCTCACCTCCATAGCATTACTATAACTATAACTAATATCTATCTTCAAAACTTCTCATGCCGTATTACAACAACAAAACACAAACTAGTGGCTAGATTGCCAACCTTCCACAAAATTCTGGATTAATAAATAGACAATCCCCCAACATCCTAGTCAACAGTCCTTGCAATCGCACCCAATGTTTTAAAATGCTATTGAGGCTAAGCATTTAGGCACACCTCGAGGCAATACTCAAAATTTTAACCTTGATACTTAAACCTCCTTTGAACCATAAGAGGCTTACGCCTCTATGAAAGTCCATTGAGCCTTAAAGTCTTATGACTCGTGCAATGATGAGAAGAATAATATTAATTTGCCTCTGTAACAACCCAAGTCCACCACTAGCAGATATTGTCCTCTTTGGGCTTTCCTTTTTGAGCTTCCCCTCAAAGTTGGTTTCCATACCCTTGTATTTCCTTTTTGAGCTTCCCCTCAAAGTTGGTTTCCAACCGATGTGGGATCTCACAATCCACCTCCCTTGGGGGCCCAACGTCCTCACTAGCACGCACCCGGTGTCTGGCTCTTATACCATTTGTAACTGCCCGAGTCCACCACTAG